GGTGGTTCACGACATTCCCCTGACGGAAGTGCATGAAATAGCACTTATTTGATTTGTGAGTATACTACTCACTTAAATGTTACAATGTGGCTTTGTTATATGTGTAATTGATGCCTTGAAGGCTTATTTGCTTATTGAAAGTGATTAAGGTGAGGGTGTACTTGACCGCCCTCACCCCTTGTGATTTTATTCATGGTTAATGACTGTTCACTGAAATACTGTACTGGTTATATGAAATACTGAATTCCACTCATGGAAACTGATTTGGTGTCGTTTGGATGAATGTCCAACGGCTTTACTGTATCACTGAGCTCAACCCCGTTTGGTAGTCAATTGGATCGAGCCGGCGAGGGCTTGGTCGTGAAAATTGTCTTGCCACGGGCACTGTACTGAGGAACCTTGTAGTAATGAGACTCTTGGTTCCGGTATACTCGAGTATTACCAAAAGTGACTGAATGGAGTGCGGGCCCGGTTGGGGTATGATTGGTGGAAGGAAAGGAAGTAAAGTGAGGTCTACGGTTTTGGTACTTTTAACATTGACAGAGGGTCAATGAGGTTGGATCAAGATTGCAAGTGTGGAAATGGGCTCTTGAGAGCCAACCGTATCCTTTCACTGGTTTGATTTATCTCTTAATTGCATATTTGAACTGAACGGTTATGATTATGTGATCTTGACTGCTTTTGTGTGATAGTTGCTCACTGGGCTTTAGCTCATACCGTGCCATTTGTTTTCCTTACAGGAAAATGACCACTTTTGGAAAGAATGCGCTAGTTGGTTCAAGTTGAGCTCATGTGAATGTATATTTTGAATAGCTCCTTGAGGGTGAAAACCCTAAGTGTTTTGTTGCAACCAATGGTTGGCTTGTAAATGGTTATTTGTACATGTATGAACTAGTTGAATATTTGATATGCCGTCTTGGCTTGCAAATGTTGGTTTCCAATGTATATATATGTTTGGTCGATGCTTGGTTGAATTTCGAACTGATACGCGTTTCAAACGGAAAAGAAAAAAAAAATTTGGAAAAAGGAAAGGGCCAAATCCGGCCGGATTCTGACGTGTCCTCTACTGTTCATCGCGGCTTCGATTTTCGTTTTTTTTTATTTTGTGATTTTGACCTATTTGCGCGCGTTGGTAAGCTTCGGAGCGCATTAGATCGACGTTAACTGATCCGTAGTCCTGGCGAGAGCTGGGCAGGCAGTCCGCTAACCCCTTTGGTTCGCCTTAGGGGAAAGTGGGGCTGTTACAATTCACACACTTGACACTCACCGAGCAATTTAATAAGAATTATTTTCTGGGAGTTCAAGTGTCCACAGTAAGATCCTCTTGAATGTCTCCTTGTGCGCCTGGCAATTAATAGCGGATAATCACACAAATAACCCACTTGTCAAGAAAGATTGTGCACTAGTACAATCTAAAGATTATTTCACAAAAGGAACCTCAATTACTCGTAAATCGAGATTCAACTTGCCTTTTATTATGTACAATATTATTTGAGTTTTTATCATGAAAATCGAGGGTAAAACGTTTGAATAATACTAAGAGAATTAAGAGTTTTGGAAAAACTCCTTTGCCTTGAAAATTGAGAAATTTCAGTTTTATCCTAAATCTTTGAAAATTCGAATCTCTCTCGATATAAGCCCAAAATTGGTAAACTTTATACCGTTGGAAACCTTTTGGAAAGTGCTAAAATTTCTTAGAAGACACCTTTCCATGAATCTAAGTGAAAAGTACTCAAAAATGAGGTTGAATATACAGACTCGGCGTACAAGGCAGAATTAAGTTGGATTTCGGCCAACTTTGAAAATTCGGTACGATTCACACGTTGCGAACCGGCCTCTGAAATTTGCAACTCAATTAGTGTTGCAAGTGAGGTTTATAACAAAACAAGCGGATCAAGAATCGGAGTTTCGAGTACCGAGATACGGTAGCTCAAAGTTGGGGAAATTCAAGACTGGAGAAGAATTTCCAGATTTGAACCTCCAACACTAGGAATTTAATTGGGTATCGAAACGAACTTGGATTGGTACCAAAATTGGCAGTATTTTACTCCCATATGAAAGGTACCGCTCTATCAAATTTCAGGGAAAAATACCTTCGGGAAGATAGTTAATTAGTCAACCAAATTTCAGGAAAAATTCTAAGGCAATCAGCCTTTTGACTTTCATTTCCAAATTTCAAATCGTTTAACCAAGAAAGCTATCCAACCATGGTTCATTGGTGAAATAAAGGTCTAAGATACATCCATGATACCTTTTTGTAATGGTTTAGCATCAAATTTCAATTAATAAGATCACTTCCAAGTTTTTGTCCCAAATCAGTCCAAATATTTCGTTTTTCCAAAACAGGGCAGTCCACTTGTTTTAGTCACAACTCAGTCAATTTAACTCAGAATGAGGCATGGTTTATGGTGTTAGAAAATACATTCATAGGACTAAAAGTTCACAGAAGAGAATGTTCTGAAATTTGGCAAGCAACCAGCTCGAAATTGAGCCTCAAGTTGCTGCCTCTACAAACCATTCCAGAAAATCCGAGAGACAGGACAGCTATCTTAAAATGTTTGGTTCGGATCACTCACAAAGAATCAGAATGTACATTTTATCTCAAATTCAAGCCAGGAATGTCTAGTTTCAAACGCCACTGATGGCACTTGATTTCGACACCCGAGGACAGAGTTATGGCCAAAATGCTACCGCTGGACAGGGTTACCCGAAAATAACTTTCCAGCTTGCCTAGTCCACGAATAAATTCACTTGTCCATCCAAACGTTAATGTTTTCCAACGAAAATTTTTACACATATAATATAACATATAAACATCAGGTTCATGCCAATAAATCACCAAAAATTGGCCTTATAGTGGCCGAACAAAACAGGGACAGTTTCAGAAATTTCTTGTCATGACCTCAACTTTGAGTTTCCAACAATAATACTCCATAAATCCATCATTATAACCACTAAACTACCATTAAATCCAACATTAATCCTCTAATCAGCAACAACAACCCAAGTGTGGGAATTCAAAGAGCCCACTATCACATTTTCCAACCATATCAAGCCACCCATACACATGCAATAGCTTAAAGATGCATTACTACCATCACAATCCAAGTTTAAGGTGTAGGATGAAGTTATACCTCCTTAGTGCCTTAACCCAGAAATTTTCGGCCCTCAAGAGCTCCAAGAAACCGTGAAAATGCAGCCCTTTAGTTAGATAAATCCCACCTCCAAGTAGTTTGCTAGATGATCTCCAAGTTTGGTGAAGATTGGTTAAAGTTTTGGGTTGATTTGATGAAGGAATTTGTGAAGCAAGAGAGTGAGTGAGAGGGGGGGTGTTGGCCGGCCGCTAGGTGAGAGAAGATGGAGAGTGATCAGATTTCTTTTAGCTTCCAAGAGAAGATTAAATGAGTGGTGCACATTCACTCCAAAGTCAACTCTTATTAGGGCTCGTTTGGCACGTTTTAGGCTCGATTTTCTCGCGCGTTTGGTTCACTAGTGCACTGAACCTCCAATGCATTTATATTCATGTAAGTATTATTCACTCTTAATTGTCCCGAAATAAGGGTCTAAAGTCCCTCAAATAAAGTCGCGCGTATGAAAACGCGTACCGTCAATTTTAACGCTGTAACGCGAAACTTCCGAGAAATTCTTATAACGATTGCACTACTAACTATCACTTGAGTATTTATTCATAAGATTACCTATTTTAGGACCATAGTACAAGTCTCCAATATTCCAAGCTTATTGCGCTCCTACGCGGATAAAATCTCCAAGCACTATTCACTATTTTTACTAAACGCGCTCCAAGAAATTAATTTTTGAAACGAATCATTTTTAAAATATAACGAAGTTATATTACCATGTATTTAGGTCTAATAAGACTAGAAAATATTCCTCGTGGCAAAAATCCAATTAAATAATTTATTAAGCCATAAATTAGGCATAAAATAATAGTTTTTACGAGTTCTCACACATTAAACATCATTTCCAACCATCATGGATAGCCACAACATCATGATCAAATTAAACCAGAAAAATCACCAATAAATTGAAAACTTCACCAAGTCATCCAAAAGCAAGAAATAAACCACAAATTTCAGCACTTTAGCTACCACTAAGCACAACTTAAGCTTCATTAAGTGTAGGAGAAAGTTCATTCACCATTCACCTAGTAAACAAGAGAGGAAGAGTTGTTGGACACCTTAGCTTCCTTAAACACTTCACCAAATCACTTACTAGCACCAAATGGAGAGATTTTATGGAGTAGAAACAAGATCAAGCAATTGTTATGGAGGATTTGAGCTAGATGGTAGCCAAGATTTTGAAGAGTTTTCTTCCTTCCTAAGCTCAAGGTGGCCGGCCAAGAAGGTGAAGACAAGAGTGAATTTTTTTGTGATTTTTGAGATATTTATTCAATTGGTAAGAAAGGTCAAAAAGGTGAATAGTTGTCAACAAGTGAAACCAATCCCAACATGACAAGTGTCACTTCATTAATGCATTCCTATCCTTCTTTTTTCCTCTCACATCAATCACATCACATCCTATACTTATCTCTTAACACCCGATAAATTTCAACCAGTATCCGAAACTCAACCTAATTGGCTGAATTTTTCCGAACTTTTCGCACTAGTGGGTCCCACGTCCAATATATATTCTTAGTTTTTCAAAAACTCTCAAATGCTAGAAAAATCATCTAAAAACTATAATTACTCATAAAATTCACCAGGAAAATTTTCCTAAGCCAGAAAATGCAGAAAACATGTCTTTAAAGGGGAAAAACCCTAGGAAAATTATTAGGGAATTTACGGGTTCTCACAAGTTTTGTGAGTATTTTGAGCAAATTCAAATCCAAAACTTTGATCCTTTGATCTAAACATTGATATTTCATCCATCATATATTGAAGTCCATCCATTTTTAACTTTTACATGACTTCTAAAACACTTTTCATAATCTCAAGCATGTGACAAGGGCTATTCTTATCATATTGGAAGGCCGGATTCAATCAAAAGGCAGCCGCATGAAGATCTTTTTTCAACATATTATCCCACCTCCTATCAATTATATCAATGTATGGGCCGTAGAACTTTTTCTTGTTCTTAAACAGTTCTTTAATGCCATTAACAACTCTCCACATGCCTTCATATACATAACCCAATGATGGTATTTCATCAGAATCACAAATGCGCAACAAGCGCATAATTGGACCCATAGTTCTCACAATAATCAAACAATTATTCCAAAACTTCCCAACAATAATTTGTTTGACGTCTTTACGTTTTTCATTTTTCAACTCTCTCTTATATGCACTAGAAGTCACTAAAGCCTCCAAATGCTGTTTCAAATCATGAAGATTCTTCAAAACAATAAAATTAGTACCAAATCGTGTTTCCGCAGGACGAAGAATCTCTCTCCAACCAGGCCTTTTTCTTAACCAACTAAGAATCCATTTTCGATTATGTACATACACAGTGACTCTTGAAGCAAGAGTAATTACATCTTTCACATGAGTCATTTCTCCAACATCTTTCATAATTAAATTCAAACAATGTGCTGCACAAGGAGACCAACTAATTGTAGGATATTTTTCAGAAAGTAATCGACCAGTAGCTTTATAATTACTTGCATTATCTGTGACCATGTGAACAACATTACTAGATCCGACAATCTCAACAATTTCTGAAAACATATTACACAAATATTCAGCATTAGACTAAAAATCTGAAGCATTAATAGATTTGATAAATGAGATCCCACTAGGACAATAGACCAAAATATTGATCAAACTTCTTTGCCTATTATCCTTCCAGCCATCACCCATAATTCTACAACCAGTTTCAGCCCATTTACTACGTAAATTGTCAACAATTAATTCAACTTGCTTCTTTGCATCTTTCAACAAATTAACCCTTAAAGCATAATAGCTAGGTCCTTGATAACCAGAACCCATACTTGCTATTTTTCCAATTGCTTGTTGGTAATAGGGAGAATTACAAGCATTCATTGGAATACATGCATCATAAAACCACAAAGCTATAGCCATGTCAGTATCATGCCATCTCTCTTTACTTTGCATACAAGACTTGATACTTAGTTGAGAACGATCAAGAGATTTACCTGTCATATAAGATTCAATGCCATGTGCCTTTCTTTTTCCCTTATTCCCACTCACATTATTTTGAGTTGCCTTTGTTTTTGGATGAGGAATTTCTTGAACATCACCACCTTCAAATCCCGCTACACTTCGGCCAAAAGGATTTCCAATTTCAAATATCCCTTTTTTCTCTTTTGCTTTTTGAACATTTTCATTCAATGAATCTTCCATTATTTGCTAATATCATTTGGCACATTTTTGCATGGAGCAACATTACCCTTGACTTTTGCAAGATGATGTTTTATTCGATTAATACCTCCCCCTCTAAAAGTACTATTGCACCCATTGACATATCAAAATTTTCTACCTTGTGAATCTTGTCCTTCTATAACATGTCTCCAAGCCACATCAGTTTTTTGCCTATGATTTTCAGAACTTGGCTTTGACGCCGATCCTTCATTTGTTGGTGTGGATTGTGAATCGATATCTTCCATTGTCCAACATTGGAAAGAATATTGAAAATATTAAATAATTTAAAAAACCTCCTATAAATGAAAATCTATAGCAATTATTACACATGAAAATACATTGCAAAGTTGAAATTAACATAGCTATCATGATCTGTACAAAAAAATAATCAGCATGATTTGTACTTTCGGTCTGGCATAAACTAAGGCAAGGAACATCTATTTCCAGCAATTCATTCTATCAAATGTTAGTTCCTCCAACAATGTAACAGTTTGGATCTCAGCTTTTCTTTACTAGTTTTAGCTATAATTTTGAAATTCACTAAGCTAGAATTCTGAAATTTCCTAATGTTGCGTGTCGCTGAGCTGTTCGGGTCCATTAACCATTTCATTTTGTATTCAAATCTAACAAACATGCTGGAACTTGAAATGATTTCTAATTCTTTCTCTCGGCTGCAACCCATATTTCCAGTAGCAGCAGCAGCCTATGTTCCAGCTAAGTAGGCAAGGGATAATCTATTTAGTTACTGATTATCCTTAACAGAACGTGAAAGTTTATGACCAAGATTCCAGAGACTAAATAGAATTAAAAACATTTCTGCTCTTAATTACAAATCTGATGCATAATGAATCCCAAATGCCAAATCTAATTAAACACCCCAGCTTCTCATACACACCCGTAATATCCAAATCCCAAATGCCCAGCATAATGAATCAAAAAATTCCAGTCACAGATCAATTTTAGCATAACGAATTAGCAATAATAGCCTTCAGATTGTAAAAAATTACCAGATTTAGCTTCAGTTCACTTGCGTGCTAACTACTTGATTGTCTTGAAATTTGAAGGAACTGGTGGTGCTGCGGTGGTGGAGGCTAGAGATTGAAGGACGATTGATGAATCTCAAGAGATGGTGGTGGATATCAGCGATGAAGAAGAAACTCAAGAAAGGAAGAAAAAATATGAAAAGAGAAGCAGAGTAGCCGATGCAAGTTTTGTCAAATTTGTTCAATTTTTTCAGTCAAATTTTAGCGTTTTTAGTTGGTCAGTCAACTGTCAAATTTGACTGAAAAAAAGGCCGAAAAAGAAAAAAAAAATTCGGGGTTAATTAGATTTTCTGATTCACCGGTCAAACCCGGACTATGATCGGGTTTGACCGATTTTATAACTTCCGAGTTTTTTAACTAACTCAGATCGGATGCCTGGCCGGTTCCCGGTTTGACCGGTCTAATCCGAGTCTGAAAACACAGACCACAAGCTAGTTGGACTTCTTTATTACACTATACTAAACTAATAATGGGCCATGGACCCCTTAGCCAACTCATGGGCTTCTAATCTTCAGTGATGGCCGAAACTAGGACAACAAGCCTAGCTTCGTTAAGGCCCTCGATGGCTTTTGGCTCTCCACTAGATTCTCGGGTTGCACGAACCAATGTTTGTAGTGTCTCATTCAATCTCTTTGCGTGAGCTCGTGTCATAGGCCCCAATGGCACCTTCACTTGCTCCACTTGGATAGCTCTCTCGACCTCCTCATCATTTGGGCTTTAGCCGCTAGTTAGTCTTTGTAGTTTTTCCAATTAAAAAGAGTCGGCCAATTGTTGGGCCTTTTTAGTCTTGAACCGTCAAGTTATTGTTTGGATTAGTTACTAGTTGTAGGGCTTGTGAGTCATTGGTTCGGCCCACCTTGTCCAAGGATAGCTGAACCCCTTTTCCCTTTCCTTTAGTCATTAGGTTTTCATTAGTCCCTTAGCCTATATAAAGGCTCACTTTGTACGAGTTAGGGTAGACGTTTTATGAATAAAATTTGCTTAGATTTTTTACTTTCTTCCTTGTGAGAATTTCGACCCCTTACTTGCTTTTGGTAAGGGTGTTTGAGCAATCTTGTGCTTGTCCTTGGTTGTTCTACCGACCTATCCATTCGAGTAATCACCATCGATTGGAGTTGCCGTTCTACCACCTTCAACCAATTCGTGTTGTCCGTTTTGGTTTTAGGTCCCGCAATCCAAGCATTGGACAACCTCGCTAGATCCTTGGGCAAACGTGCTACATGTCTCAAAATGAGTTGATCGAGGACCGTATCAGTTGGCTTCAGAGCTTAGGTGGAGGTATCTTTCATTATATCCTTGTTTTTTGTAGTTGTGTCATAAGAATTTGTGTGTTTTGTCTGTAACATCCCGAATATTAGGAGGTTGTTTGTGAAGAAAATATTAAAGTGTATTTCTTTGGGTTTGATTTAAAACCTTATTTTGTTTTAAAAGACTAGAAACCCTAATGTTTTAATCAAAAAAAACCCTAGTTTACTTGTGACTACACGGTTTCTTAAATCTCTCATATTTTACTAGAGATCCTACTGTTAATTATTGAAATTTTAAATTCCTCACGTTTTCTTAAAAATTTCCTTTTATTTGAAAATTATTATTTATTAAGGCCCTACTACCCAATCGTTCAACAATAAGTGCAGATGAACCTGGAAATAGGGTTTTATACTTCGGTCTCAAGATTTGAGCAAAATTAGGGTTTTGCGATTTTTCCGCCGGATAAATTTCCGGTACTGGCCGAGGATCAATTTGATGATTAAAAGTGGCTTTTAAGTGAGAAATAATATGTGAGTAGTAGCCATGAGACAAGGTTAGTGAATGGAAAGGAAAAAAAACCTAGTACGTGAGTTTTTAAGAAAACGGCGCGAACCGGCGGGTCCCGCGCACTACCGTTTGAACGCACCACTGGACTACCACTTTCTTGCACCACAAGCTCATTGATATTTAAGCCAAAATATCTTCTTATATTCAGCTAAGAAGGACCGAAATTTGTGGCTAAGAAGCAAGGGGAAGAAAGAGAAAAATTAGTGGACAAGATTAGTCCAAGTGTTAGTAGAAATTTGTGGTCATAATTAACTCTAACCTTCTTACTCCTTATAAGACAAAAATCAGCTTCATTTCTCTTCATTTTCTGCTGCTAAGAGCATAGAGAGAGAGAGAGTAAGAACAAGAGAGGAAAAACAAAACTCTTCTCCATTTCTTCTTCAATCCACCAACAAAGTGAGAAATCAAACAAAAGAAACCGATTAATCTTGTCTTTGAGTGGTTAGTTAGTGTTTGGTGGTGAAAGTTTGGAAAAGGAAAGCTTGGGGCTGCTTTTAGAGACTTCTAACCAAGGTAAGAGAACTCATCTCTCTAAGTTTTGCTTTTGATTTTGTTAAATTAAGTTAGTAGTTTGATTATAGTGGTGGAATCATGGATGATTAGCATGATTTAGAGGTTTTCCCCAATTTATTTGATGAACTGGGGGTTCTGATTTTCTGCTCAATGTGATGTATGATGTGTAAATGTTGCAATTAAGGTTATATAAGGTTGTTTAGTGGTGATTAGAACCAGAAATTTGAGGAAATTACACTTAGAGCTAAAAATTTCAGATTTCTGGAAAATTTCCCAAGCATTCTGTCCGAATTTGTATCGGTGTGTTAGAGGCCGAATTGGCCTTGGGTCAAAGAAGGACAGTTGTAGATAATGGTATTTTGTAGGTGCCTGTAAAATTTCAGCTCAATCGGAGCAACGTAGGTCGTGAAAAGTCCAAAATACCCTTACTGTTTTAAGTTTTTCCTCAGCAGTCCGTGTGTTCAGTTTGTCCAGTTAATCACGATTTTTGACCAGGATCCATTCTGTTTTAGCTCTGGGCCAAAACATGAAAGTTGTAGTGTTCTGAAGTAGCTTTAAAATGCCTCTAAGAACACCTGAATTGGACTTTTGTACACTGAGTTATGTCCATTCCAGTGCAGTGTGGATAAATAGCCGATGAATTGGATTTTGGTTCTGTAATTTGAGGATTTGACTAAGTTGCATTAGAAACTGGACTAAGTGATCTTCATGAACATTGTAACCCTGTTTCTTAGCTTTCAGCTGGTTTTGGAATTTTGGAATTTGGACTTGGAGAGCCTGAGTTATGATGTTTCCGCTAAAATGCATTTTGTGAATCTGTTTTTGTGATCCTGGTATAGTATCTTGCATTTTTGACCTGGTTACACTCGAAACTGGGTTAAGTGACCTTCATGAACATTGTAGCCCTGAGTCTTAGCTTCGAAACGGCATAGGTTACGCCTCAATCCGATAAGCATAGCCTTGGATATGTTATTTCCGCATTTGGTACGTCAAATCTGTCTTGTGCCACAGTGAATTTCTGCACTTGTACTTAATGCGATTCTTGTTATTATGATATTGTGAGCCTATGGAACGGCTCTTGACATAAATTGCTGATTTGTATGATGTTGGGATGTTGTTGAAGAAAAATAATGAAGCCTAAATGGCTGGAAATTAGGTAAACACAAAGGGCATGCTGCTCAAATTTTTACTCGAGGTCTAGAAAACTATCTTTGCAACTTGAGTATGAGTTAAGAGTGATTACTGCTTGAACCATCTAGAGTACTTAAGTCTTCTTGTCCCAAGATATATAAATAAGGACTTGGCCGAACTTGTACCCCTTGAGAAATGAAATAATGATTGTTCAAAGTACGGTTTCCTTGTACTTTCGACTCGCATGACCATTTCAAGTATAAATGTTACAAAGTTTTATCATTTAAAAAGTGAGCGAGTATTTCACGATATTCTCCAAGTGAATTTTCATTTCTTGATTCTTATTGAACGAAACGTCTAAGTTTCGAACTCTAATCATGTTTCAAAGTTCTCAAATTGAGTTTTATCGCAGATTTGGACTCCGAACTCGGAGTATAACCTGAAAGTGACCAGTAGCACTATATCTTTTGGGTGAGTGCT